TTCTTTATATTTGTATTGCTATTGTCATGTCTATTACTAATGTGTTGATAAAATACTGGCTATTGAATCAACTTGCTGGATGCTGTTATAATTTTTGATTTCATGACCTACAGAAGACTGTTTTTTATCAATTTCTTCCTTTCTTCTTTTTTCCTCTATGGCACAGATTGTGATGTAATGTGTACTGCTGATTACAAGCTGTCGCTTTTCCCATGTGAATACAAAGAGCAGGTATGTTAAAGATTTCTTTTTCACACTCCTATATTTTTTTATGGCTCCCGACAATCTTTCAAAACTGCAAATTCCTCTGTTTTGTTTCTTCGAAGTTTAGAAATGCAAGATACTCAGTCTCTTTTATGCGCTCTAACATTGCTTGTTGCATCCGTATGACTGTATTTGATGACCTATATATATCTGTCCGCGTGGTTTTATGCACCCCGCACAATTTAGCAAAATTTGATCATTTTTTGGCATAATTTCTGATTATTTTCCTTTTTCATTCTTTGTTAAAATTAACAAAATTGCATAATTTCACTTTTTTGGGCTCAGTTTGCATAATTTCAGAATTTTTCTCGCATGAAACGACGGGGACAGATATATTAAAACTTTAAAAGGAAGAGTTTCTGTCTTTTTTGCCATATATATGGATGTATGTAAGAATAGATTGTATTGTTCAATGCCCAGATATCGAAGTAAAAAAAAAAAAATTTTCTTCTGAATCTTGCGCTGCAAATGAGTGGGTTCATGTGCTTGCATCCATGTACATATAATATAATATAGGTGTTCATGTTTGTGCCTGTCTGTGGCAAAACGAGAGTTGGGAAACTGATAGAAGGAGGCAGAGTTGAGGCGTGTGTTGTTATCTATGAGAGCAAGTGAGGACAGGCAGTGATATCATAGTTTTGTATGTGTTGAACCAACAGATAGCCCTACTTGAAAAAATGAAAGCTGTGAGATTGCTGATACGGCCCCTATCTCTACACAAGGACTTGCGGAAGGAATTCCCAGCTAAAATTGTCCGCTCTTAATTTTTTATTAGGTTTAAATCAATTGGAAAGCATTGTAGTGGGATGTTGAGTCACACTTGTATACCTGCTTATCAGTTGATTTGTAGGACAAATTGGGATTTGAATTCGATGTGTGTGTGTGTGTTGATAATTCAAGTTGAGCAGATGACAGCTCCGTTAACCCCTTCGTGACCGATATATAACATACAATTACTTTTTTTTTATATACGGCGAAGAAGTCAAGATGCTGCCTGTAAGGACTTCTCTGTTGACATCCACCCCTTGGCGCTCTTATTACCTTATGCAATTACGAGCACCGTAAAACCTCTACTAAAACAAAAAACAAGATGCTTTTGTGATGTGCGGTGTTCGTCGTGCCTTGCAAAGCACGAGGACCATGACATGAGTCATAAGTTGTATTCGATATACTGCTTCTGATAGATAAACTAATCGCACATTATTTGCATTCAGTGGTATTTTCGCTGTACAAAGAAATTAGAGATAGTTAGTAGTGTTTACAAACGAGGTCTAACTATAGACAACTGTCCACTAAATCGAGCGCTGCTCTGTGTCCCTGGGGATCCAGAACTTGTACCCGTGGGAGCATGAACTGACCCTTTGTCACGAGGGGGTTAATGAATGACTTGAAAATCATGAGATGCTTCGATCTGTTTGATGTGGACCGTTGTTCAAACTGTCCTGTAATGTGCTACAATGTCGGACAATGAGCGGTGTATTGATAACAGTTGTAGTTAACTTGGTGGTATTGCTTAACGCTAATGTTCAGTCATGTAATCGCTTTCTTGACGTTATAAATGAAATTTCTTGTTTGCTCATCATGATCTCCTTCTCATTTGACACTGAGTCATTTTTAAAACCATGATACTGGTGGGCATGTAATTGTGTACTGCCTGTTCTTTCAGTCTCTGTTTTGTGCTTTTCCTTCTAAGTTTTTTTTGGTTTATTTTTTTCTTTGTTATGGTGGTAAGACATGAAGGTGGTGTGTGTGGTCAGTGAGAATGGCGAAGTGAAGGGTCCTGCCATCAGCAGCGAGCTGATCATTGCCAGGGACAAAGCCTTCCGGGAGCTGCAAAATGTCGTCAAAGAGTGAGTACTTAGCCCTTAACTTTTGTCGCGGTTGGTTGGCGGCTGCTCTGGTGTGGTTTTCGTTTTAGTGAGAGTTTAACGGCACTTGCAACACCTCGATAAGATCATATAAGTGCTGAAGATTAGAGGTGTTACAAGAGAGTAACAAACATACAACTGATCCTTCTTTTTTGTGTTTGTTACTCTCTTGTAACACCTCTAATTCTTCGGCACTTATATGACTTTATTGTGTTGCAAGTGCTGTAAAACTCTTTTTTAAAACTAAAACTAAAACTAACTGTTTTCCTGATCTTTGCTACGCCAAGTGTAATATTGCTGTGAAGCTTACTGACTGCGGGGTGTCTCCTTCATGGTCTGGTATCTTCATCCAGACAGCTTTTACCCCCCGGGGCAGTGCCACTGACTGTAGTGTCTTTAGGCCATTCCCAAAGGAAGGACATTTCTCGTTCAAGCACAGTAGAATTGTAAATGGGCTGACTCATGTTACGCTCATAACTGTGCCTGATCTACAACAGGGAACTACTGCTTTTTCTTTCTTAATCCTTACTATTGTCATTTCTACTTCTTTTATATGTTTGTCACTCTCTTGTGACCTGCTATTTCCGGGGTGCCTTGATAGTCGAAGCAGACCTTGTGCTGTTGAAGCTAGAGAGGTGAGCAGAATAAGTCTTTTTCCCTGTAAAGACTTCTCTGTTGACACCCACCCCTTGGCGCTCATATGCAGTTGCGAGCGCCGTAAAACCTTCTACTATTTAAAAAAAAAAAAAAGACAGCTTTTGGATAGAGTCCTGTGACATCTGCTTTTATGCCGGCTTCTTTCTATCCTCTGAAGTCTCAGCCTGTTTGTCTATCTTCTGTTGTTTCTGCCTGTCTGTCTATCCTTTGATGTTTCTGCCTATCTGTCTATCTTCTACTGTTTCTGCCTGTCTGTCTATCTTCTACCGTTTCTGTCAGTCTGTCTATCCTTTGATGTATCTGCCTATCACTCTGTTTTCTACTGTTTCTGCTTGTCAGTCTATCCTTTGATGTTTCTGCCTATCTGTCTATCTTCTACCATTTTTGTCCGTCAGTGTATCCTTTGATGTTTCTGCTTATCTGTCTATCTTCTACCATTTTTGTCCGTCAGTGTATCCTTTGATGTATCTGCCTATCACTCTGTCTTCTACTGTTCCTGCTTGTCAGTCTATCCTTTTATGTTTCTGCCTATCACTCTGTCTTCTACTGTTCCTGCTTGTCTGTCTATCCTTTGATGTTTCTGCCTATCTGTCTACGTCTGCCACCAGCTCTTCATTACATGTCACTTATACCAATAGATGGATTCTATTTTTAATTTACTAAAAGAAATAATTCTACAAGCTTCCTTTGATGGTGAGGTCTGTTTGTCAGGTTATGAGTACATTTCAGTGTAGGTTAACTATACTGAAATAATTATACTTCTGTCAACGTATATTTTCAGTTGAATACTGAGGTTTAAAAAAATTGTTCAGTTCTATGAAAGAGGCAACCTCAAAAGAGATGCACCTTTTAAAAAGAATTTCTTCGCATGTTTAGGTTTGTACTATTTTCCCTGTATGTTCCTGCAAAAATGGGATGTCATGTTGACTCATTGCAAACCACAATTCAACCCTTTCCATGCTTTGTTCGCGCATCTGTGATTTATGGGTTTTACCTTTTTGCTTTACCTACAAAAATGTAAATTTAATTCCTTCATGGGTCATCAACCCCTTGACTGCTAACCATATTATAATAATATACGCACCCCACATGCTAAGGAAAATCCCACCGAATGCAAGGCAGTCCAGGTCACGGTCTTTCATCGACATTTGTTCACTTATTAAAAGAGACAGATCAGTGAAACTTATTATATCAATAGAGAGAAAAATGAAAAGATGAATTCATCCCTTGACAAGACAAATAAGCCATAAAACTCGGGTTTTAGCCGCAGAACAGAATATGTTTACACAGCACTGGGTGGCGGATTACCAAGACATTTACGATGCGTCTACAGTACAACCAAGGGTTAATTGACTACCTCAATCTTTTTCTTGACGTCAGTCTTTTTCTTGATCCATTACAGGTAGCATTGGTAAGCTGTCCGCTTTCTCAATTCTCAGTTTTATTGAGGGGGG